TTTTTGCTTTCCAGATAAGTGTCTCGCTAGTCACTTCATTAATTTGATCCAATCAGATAACTACAGAAAAATAGATATTTTTTAGATTTATTTTGTACACAACAATTGACAATTCGAAAAACTTATTCCATTCCCGCCAGCATGATTTGATAAATTTTTAAAAGTCGATTTACCTCAAAATAAAATAAAAAACCACCGGTAACAGAGAACTCTTGGTAGTATCATTATTGCTATCGTGATGAAATTTGATCTGAATTTTTCAAAGAACAGAACATCTAAAATTAGGTTAAAGTATAAATTTGTTCCGAAAGTTTTTAATAAGAAGTTCTAAGTATTTGAAAGTTTTTTTAGAAACAAATTCATTTTAAAAGTTTAAAATCATAATAATATTATCTCCTACCATAAAAAAAATTAACATAAATTGTTAAACTAATAGTGCTGACCGTTAATATTTTTAGCAGTATGAAATGATATTGTTATGATTTTAAACTCTCTGAATAAATTTGCTTCAAAAAAACTTTTAGATAGCTAGTGTTTTTGAGTGAGAATTTTTAAGGCAAATTTACATTTTAATCCCATAAAATTTATACTCCTCTAGTCCTTAATACATGATATAATTCTTGAGTTGGTTTTAGTCCTAAATATCACACTCATGTCTCATATTTATCAATTTTCTCTAAATTACCTTTATGGATACTCCCTCAACCATAATCAAGTACAGGAGGGAGATGTGGTATTAAGAAAGATAATTATGGTGTTTTAGGAAAGACGTGTCACATTTCTTATAATCAACTAACTTATCTAACTTTCTTAATCTAATCAAAGTAGTTAAATGGATCTTATATTAAAGATAAGAAGAGTACATATTTATAATATAAAAATTAAAAATTCTTTTTAATTCAAAACTTTTTTTGTTCCCCAAAAGAAAAAAGTTGACGGACGAAGAACTTCAAAGAATTCCAGTAGTTGGCGGACCCACCGGCTCTAAAAGCTGGACTGACCGGTTTTAATTAAACCCACGATAGGAGGGATGACCTGGCAATATTATTAACACTAATCCATGTTCAAATTTCCCTCATCTATGCCCAATTGCCCATGCCCAGAGCCCTTACGTCACCCCCCCCCCGGCGGAAAGCTTCCAGAAAGGCGCTCGCCGCTCGCGTCCGGGTGATTCCCTGATGACGTCATCATTATTATTAGCTGCTAAGAGCTGTCAGCCCCCCTTATGCATTCGCCCCTCTGTTTCTTTCTAATTACAAGAGTACCCCCGTCCATTTCGATTTCCTCCCTCTGCTAGTAAAGCCCGTGGAGTAAACAAGTATGATTCCACATTTAACCTGATTGATTAATTAATAAATGATCATTCCTTAATATTTTAAAATTTAGACTGCATTAACACAAGTGTGTGTGTGGGGACTTTGTCATTAATTAAGAATACAAATCATCACGCATGTCCTATTGTAGGTTTTAACAAGTGAATATCCAAGAGTAGACTATACATATATATTCACGTACTCTTTTGATGACAAAAAAAAATACATATATATATATTTATATATACTCTTTTTTTATTTTTAATTTTAAATATAAAAATCATTTTATAGTATAATTTATATTATAAAATAAATTTTATAATTAAAATCAGAAAAGTATATAATTTTAAAATTGAACGAGATAATTTGACCCATCACTCACTGATCATTAATCATCATTTTTTTTTTAATTTGCGCACAACATCCTCTCATTATCTCGTTAAAAATAATTTTATTCGAGCTAAAATTGAGTACCAAGTGTGAATGCTATATTGAATTTTGATTTATCACCTGTTGAAGGATCAATCCATTTCATTAACATGAACCCCATCGACATGTTTGTGTAATATCTGTCCTGTCTGATTGATTCATTATCAAGGCTGCTAGCTAATAAATTCTAATTTCTGTTTCTCCATAGTTGTCCATTTCGATTTCCAGCTAAGACGAGACTCTTATTGTTGAAAATTAAAAAAAAAAACAAACAAATGCACACAACATCCCACTAATCAGGCCACAAATTTATGTCCTTTTTTAGTTCTTTCCAGTTCAGAATTGGAGAAAATCTTGTTAATACCTAATACTTTTTTGTTTTATAGTATAGTGTGAACATCCCTGTTCAATGATTGTGCCTCCATATTTAAAGCAAATATTTCATCATCTATCACCTATAATCCAGTTTTAATAACTCTCACAATGCCCCTTTATACATTATTGGCGTCCCTTTTTTTTTTTTATTGCATGCTTAATTAACAACGAACAAAGAATTGTAGGCTTATGATTGGTCTAGGATGTATTTTTAGGCTTCAAAGTGCCCTAACCCACCTAATTTTGTTACTTCCTTGGGACTTCAAGCATATTTTATCTAATGTTCTATCTCAGTGTTAAGATTGGGTTTAGTAATCCTGTTCCGTGATAAACACTATTTTGTTTCATTTCACAGTGTATGAAAAATAGTTTCAGATAATATAATTTTATCAGCTATGCTATTCGATTTTTTCTTTTAAAAAAATTGCTTTTGTTCTTTACTGATTTATTAATTTGAATAAATCCTTCAGTCTTACTATTAATTAGTCCCAGAAATGTGAAGCATACAGATTATGGGCATGTTTAGAATAATTTATAAAAAGTTTTTTAATCGTAATTTACAGAATATAAAACAAGTAAATAAAAAGAGTTTGGTGTTGACTTATGTAAAATATGTTTATAAGTGTTTTGAAACTCTATCCCAAACATGCCCTGTATTGAACAGAAATGTTCTGGTAAAAAAAAAAAGAACAGAAACGTGAAGCACGATAAAAGCGTGAAGCACCTTATAATACAGACGAAGAACGTAGAGGAAAGGGCTAATAATTAAGGGGAAATGAACAAGGCTAGCACGGCTCCTTTCTCACTGCGCAGTGTGCATTCTCGTTGTTGTTTGAAAAGTTCGACTCCCATTTCAATTAACGAATGCAAGCTGTGCTCCTTCACTGTCACCACATTTTGCTTGCACTGTGTGTGTGTACACGCAAATAAAACTTTTTATTTTTTAATATAAAAATTAGTTTATAATTTTTAATTTGGTTATAAATATAAAACTTTAATTTATTTTGTCTATTATATTTATCTATTCTTTTTAAAATAGTTCTTATAGTAGTTGCACATTTTAAAATTTTCATCAAATAGTAGTTATAGTTAATATACATGATTAGTAAGGGTATTTTAAAAAAGACAACACGTATTTGTTACACATAAGAAATTTTTTTAATCTACTCAAACTAGTTAATTAGCTCTCATATTTAGACCTGTAGTTCATATGTGTGTGTATATATATCTAATTACCTCATGGATACATGTCATATTGTTTAGTTATCAATTACGTCACTATTCACATCAATAATTATTGGCGCGGACTGAAGACCCTCTAAATGCATATGCAAGTAAAAATTCATTCTCAGTGAATTATTAGGAATTGATTAAAAAGCTCATGATTATGTGACTAAAAATAATTATAAAGGGAGAATTGCTATAAAATTTAAAAACAATAATATAATTACTAAAAAGTCTTAACGATAATATAATTATCTGTAATAATAAGTTTTAATGTGAAAAATAACTACATCTCATTTGTTATTGAAACTTTTTTTTACTTATTTTCTTTTTTTTAAAAAGATTTTACAGTAATTTTTCTTATTATAAATTATCAAAAAATTTGACAAGTTTCTTAAACATGTTGTTGAAGGCAAAAAAAAAATGTTGTTAGACCTTCAATTGCTAATCATGTCCTACCTCCGGATCTAAATATAAGAGCTGATTGACTAATTTGAGTAGATTAAGAAAATAAGTTAAGTTAGTTATTTGTAATAAATCTATGTTGTTTTTTTATAAAATATCCTTGTCAATCAAATTTATTGATTAGAACTATCATTATTAGGAGCACTATTTTGAAAAAAATAAATAAATACGAGAGACAAAATAAATTGAAATTTTATATCTAGAACCAAAATAAAAATTAAATGAAGTATTATATTAAGAACCAGAATTAGTATCATATATATGGAAAGGAGCTTTAAAAGAGGCAAAACCCACCTCTATTAGGCACCAAAAAAAACAAAAAAAAAAAACAAAAGAAATCCATTAAAAATTTTATCAATGAAAATGATATAAATCTCTGCCTGTATAAAATTTATAAAATATCAATATTTTTTATGCATAACAATTTTTTAAGTATATTTTAAGAAAAACTTATCACGTCCCTCTCACTAATAAAAATTTTCGTAACAGTTTTTTTTTTAATTTTTCCAAAAGTATAATATGATTATTCAGTATAAAAAGTAATTCAGAGAATTTTAAAACAAAATTATAAGTAATAAATTAATAAAAAAATTTTAAAAAACAGAAAAAGAGCATGCACTCTTTATTTGTTTATTTATATTCGCCATTCGCTAACTCCTTTTCAACTCCAAAAAGGTTCTGGGTTTATTTAAAGCTACTTAACACAAACATTTATAAGTATATTTACTTAAATCAAGATAAATTTTTGTTTATATATTTACTTTGCATTTTATAAATTATGATTAAAAAACTATTTTTTAAGAGTCTTGCCATCGTTCTAAAAAATACTCAATAAAATACATAAAATATTATTATCTTGATTTATAGGAGACCTTACAAGCCAATTAACACATATGATATATGTGATGCAAAATAATGATATAATCCTTAGCCATTATGAACTTAATGTATGCCAATTACCTCAAATTTTCCACCCGACTCCGTTGGAGTCTTCATTTTTTAAAATCATCCCCAGGAATGAATCATTGAATCCGAAGGGACAGTGGCAAGTTTGTAATATCAAGGAAATCAATGGCATTATAGAGATAATGAAGTTAGCCTCTTCACCAAGAAAAATAAATTAAAATTAATTTATTTTCAGAGGAGACTTCCCACCACCTTCCTCAGCCTCAATAGCACAAAATATTCTAATGGGCCCACCAGTAGCCATTTAATTTCAAAGATAAATACAAGTCCGGGAGCCACTTTGCATAATCTTCAACTTCTTCGAACCCTTCGTTCCCACAAAGCAGAGGCGATTTCAGAAACAGAGGAAGCAGCTAAACCTACGAGATTCATAGGAACCCCGAAGTCAATCATGGTTTTGGCCTCCCAGACAGACCTTCCTTTCAACGAGAACGACTCACAAGACATGTTCATATACCAAGTCATCCACGAGGCCAATGCTCTTCCCACCACCACCACCACCACCTCCTCCTCCACCGCCGCCAACGCCGCTGCATTCATCCAGCAGAGGCAACAAGCCGCCGCACAGAACGGGCTAGAGCCGACGAGGGCCGTCGGAAAGAAGCATTACAGAGGAGTAAGACGGCGGCCGTGGGGGAAGTTCGCGGCGGAGATCCGGGACTCCGCCCGGCACGGAGCACGCGTGTGGCTGGGCACGTTCGAAACCGCGGAGGAGGCCGCCATGGCTTACGATCGAGCGGCTTTTCGTATGAGAGGCGCTAAGGCCTTGCTCAATTTTCCCTCGGAAATCGTAGCTTCTTCCGTGGAGATGTCTTGTGATTCTAATAAGCCAAATCTGAGCTCCTCGGGGAGATTCTGTAATCAAGATTCAGATTCAAGTGCTAGCAGCAGTTCCTGCGTTACTTCCATTGGAACAGATAGAACCTTGTTAGAAAGCACAAGCAGCACAAAATACAGTTAGAAACATCACTGCATGTTTCTTGAAGTTGTTCTTAGTTTATGTCTTGTCTTATGATAATCAGTGCTTAACTTATTGTCAAGGGACACACTATAGGCGATGAGATGGTAAGAGTGGGGAATCTGGGGAAGGTTTAATTAGCACACGAAGGGACAAGGAATTTAAGATAAGGTAATGTAATACTAGAGATTAAGGAACATAAAGTTGTGTTTTCTCCTCTGTAATTTGTTGGTTTCTGTATGTCATGAGCGACTGAGAGAGATGTCAATACAATGCTAGTATATGATTTGTCCAGAGACAAAAACCAGAGATGTCTACGTTGTACAAAAATTGTCTGAAAGCGTCGAAATGGGGTTCGTGTCGCCAATAATGATAAAGAACTGAACTCGAGTTTGTTTTGCTGGTTTGGTTTAGTCGTGCGGTTATGTAGGTTGACTGGTCATAATAGAAAAGCCAAGAAAGGTAGAAATTCCAGAGGTCTCTTGGATTTTTTTTGAGTTAGTATTGGCAGGATTTTCAATATGTTTCACAATATAATCTAAAATATTTTTTTCCATCTTATATTCATTAGGAATGAGTATTAGTTTCCCCAAAAAAAAAATATAGAAATCATTTGGAAGATAAATTAGAACAGAATTTAAGATTAAAACAATTCCTTACGCTAACTTGTACATTTAAAATTGATGATGTAAAACCCATTTAATGAAGCCCAATCACACAAGCGACCTCCATATTATTTAGAGACCTTTTTTGCCATGAACGACACTAAAAACAAAAGACGATAGGAATCATTGGGCTATTTGGAATGATTTATAAATAATTTTTTAATTTTAATTTACAAAATATAAAGTAAATATGTGAAAGGAGTTTTATCTCAACTTACATAAAACGTCCTTATAACTTCTTAGGAACATGATTCCAAACTAAGTCTAAGAATCCTATAAAAATTAAGCGTCAATATAATTTTTTATTCCTAAAATTTGAGCTCTTTTTTATTTTGGTCCCTCAAATATCAAAATCATGGTTTTACTCTCTGAAATTAGGGGTGGTAATACAGGTCAACCCGCAACCGTGAGGGGTTGAATCCATATAAGTTAAGTTAGAAAGACTTATTTGAAGGTAGGTTGGCTTCCAGTTGACCTTAACCCTCCAAGGTTGGTGGGCCCATAAATAATCATTTACTTTTTTCAAATTTTTTTACTTTTTAATATTTTTTCCCTATATAATATCCAAAAAAAATCATAATGAGATTTTTGTTTTTCTTTAAAATATTTGATTGAAAAAACCAAATAAATTGTGTAGGTATTTTTTTAAATTTTTTTCATAGAATATAATATATAAAAATTTAATTGTAATAATTAAAGAATAAATGTAGGTTAGCTTGGCAGAGGGTTACGGGCCTGGTTGTGCAAGTTAAAAAAGCTCGCTTATTGGTGCGTTGGTTTTTAACCAAATGGTGGGTTGGCAGGTTGAATCTACGGGTTCAACTCATATTATCAGCTCTACCTAAAATTTATTTGGTCTTAAAACATTAGTTTTTGGAGATGTAACAATATTAAAATCTGTTAAAGCATCGTAAACAATGTTATAATAATAACACGGGATCATCTTATGACACCTATTTAGATACAAAGGGGGGATGGGTTTTCAAAACGCAGCGTAATGAATAACTGCTCAAACGGACAGTGAGAAAAAAAGAGTGCTAAACATATGCATTTTGAGGACCTGATTTTTTTTATTATTATCTATATCCGTATAAGTTTTGGATATTTGTTATTTGGTAAGTTCATATCACCACTTTAACGTTATTTACGGCACTGTAGTAGATTTTAACACTATTACATTTCAAGAGACTAATGTTTAAAGACAAACTAAATTTCAATGACCAAAATCACGAGCTTAAAATTTGAGGGATCTAAATCAAAATAGATATGGATTTCAGGGACTAAAATTCGTATTAATCCAAAAAGTAACATAAAATAGGACCTATTTGTGATTGGAATTTTAAAAATTACAGTTCAAATTTCTATATTTAGAAAACTTAAAAGATTCTCATTTTACATTAATTTTTTCACAAAGTCATAAATTATTCCCTAAAAATAATCTGAACCATACAACCGAGTAGTTTAGAGTGCTTCCCTAACTGCAAGCTCCTATCGAGGGACGGGACTTGGATAGTGCCTGACTAGCAATCTTATCATGTTTGCGCAATACCTTCTTAATTCATTGAAAGACACTATTGCTATGAAACATTATGGTCACAATGGATTGTGATTTGTGAGTGTTACCAAAAGATGATAAAAAGATAATGAGGTTCGACAAATAGCATATTAATTTTTTTAGAAGCGTTCTTTTGATAAAACATCATCTCTCTCTCACTAGGAAATTGATTGGCTAAAGACCAGAGTATATTTTTAGTTTTTAAATTTTATATAAAATTTTAATTTAATCTTTTAACTTTAAAAAAATATTTTTTTTAATTTTTTAATTATAAAATCATTAACAAAAAATAATGATATTGAGATTTTAAATATTGATAAAACATTATAAAAAAAAATTAACATATTAAGTTTAATTTTTAAAACAACTATAATTATTACAAAAAATTATCATGTTAACAATGTTAAGATTAAAAGATTAAAAATACATTTTTTTAAAATTAAAAGACCAAACTAAAAGCATATAAAGTTACTTCAGCCGAAATTGATTTGATCTCATAGTCCAGGTATTGTTACCCCATATGCTCCAAAGTCGTCGGCGATTGGCATGTCCATTACAATGAAAAGAATTGATTTGATCTTTTTATACGCATAACAACGCCGTTGGAAGATTGGCTTGTAAACAAAGCAAAATGAGAAGTGATTTGTGTTTGGACATCTCCGATGGCGTATGGGACAAATTTAATCAGGCGGAGTCCGAGATGAACAACACACACCCAGAACTGTCAATGACTTTATCAAAGTGCTCATGTTCTTGTTCATCTCCTCCGTTAACTCTCCAAAGAGGCAATAATAGATTAATAGAATTCTCTCCAGTACAAATATGTAATGCATCAATTAATGATGTGACCATGACAGATAATTTCATCTGTGCCTTTTACAGTATATGAGTATGTACAGGAAAATTGCTTCTATATTTCTAGCCTTTTTTGACACTATTCTCTCAAAAGGAAGATAACAAACTTTCCAAGTAATCACTTCCCAAGTCTTGAAACTCAAAAACATCATCTTCTTCATTCCCTGTCACCCCTCCCGAGCTTGCCATTTTCTTCTTTGCAGGTTCTTCATTCATCATGCCAACAAGTTCATCTCTCTCCCTACACCTTCTTTTTCTGGAGCCGCAGAAATTTTCTTCACAGTTTCCTTTCTGGTCAAATCCTAAGGCATTTGAGACAGTCTCAAGTGGGAAATTCAGGTATGCCTTAGGGCCTCTAATTCTCAAAGCAGCCTTATCATAAGCCAAAGCTGCTTCCTCTGCTGTGTCAAAAGTCCCAAGCCAAACCCTAGCACCTTTCCTTGATGAGTCTCTGATTTCTGCAGCATATTTCCCCCATGGCCTTCTTCTCACTCCTCTGTAGTGTTTTGCAGAAACCCTCTTCTCTGCTTTCACTGTCACTGCTTCTTTTTCTTCTTCAACCTTCTCATTGCATTCAAAAGCACTGCAAATTTCTGAATTGTTACTGCTACAAGCTGGAAACCCATCTAAGATTTCTTCCCAGAACTCAGCTCCCATTGATATCCATCTTCCTAAACTAGGAAGCCTTCTCAGAACTTCCAAAGACCCTTCTCTTTCACGCAGATTAGGCAGTTCTCCCCATTGTGATCCATTGTTGCTGTCAATAATTTTAGCCCACACGTTCTCAAGAATGCCTTCAGAAGCTGAATTTTGATTGCCATGAATAGCCATGTTTGTTAACTGAAGAGAGATAAAGGGAATGATGATTTAAATATATAAGAGAAGGTGGGTGAGCATACTCAGAATGAAGACACTTTTGAGCGTTGACAGCTCAGCTTTGCTTTGTTCTGCTAAATGAGTTGGTAACTTGTGCTTTAATCCGCTGACCAGCTAGTTCTGCGAGGGATTTCAGTGTTTTCAACACAAAGGAATAAAGGAAAGACTTTTGAGCAATGGGAAATTCGTTATTTTAATGTTTACTCTCTTGACTCGTGTGCCTGTTCAATTACCTGGGACCTTTTCCCTTGTAGATTCTATGTACTTTACACATTGAATTCCTCTTGTTATACACAGAAACAATTAAGCAAAGCATCTGAAAGCTGGCAAGGGAATATCAGGCGTATGGTTCTGTTGCTTTCTGCATAGTTGCCATTATGTGTTTGGCACAAGCTTCTTCAGTTTCAAAATTATAGCTCCTTCAATATATCAGAACAGAGATTGCCGTTTAATTAAGTTTATCTATTTATGTTTAAGCCTCAAGATTATTGAGGCTAAGGATTAATTCAACCGTATGTTTTTGCAGGATTTGTGCTCTTGTATTCTGCATCAGACTTGATGATTACTAAGAAAACCCTTAAAATATTGTCTCTTACGACAAGAGAAATGTAATACCTATGATGTGTAATTCAACCACGTATGTTTGCAGGTTTTGTGCTCATGTATTCTGCATCAAATTTGATGATTATTAAGAAAACCATTATAATATTGTCTCTTACAACATAAGCATGTAGAATTTAAGATATGTAATTCAACCATTTTGTTTGCTGGTATTGTTTCTTATAATATTGTTTTTATACTTAAGACATGTAGTACTCACGCTATTAGATTTTTGTTCCTCATGTAGTCTCTTGGCTCAAAAAGTCAAAGGTATATCGTTTATAACAAGTTAAAATGATTTTTCATCCTCCTAGTTGAAATAACTAGAGTAAATGATCTTTGTACCATAAAATACCCATTTTTGTTTAGATTTTAGACTTTATGAGTACTGTTACTGCCAGATAAACCAGATTCTGAGTCATATGGGAGGTTAAACGAAGGAGATAACGTAAATTTTTGTTCATACTATTTGAATTCTTCAATATTATATTGGATTTAAGACTTTTAATTCTTTTTCTAGAATAAATGGATTTGAAGTTTAACAATTTTTTTTTAAAATCTTGAAAAAACACATTTTCTTATCGTCCAGAATTTAAGAAATCATATATTGACTTTCATTTTTTGAATCTCAGTTTAAGCATATAAGTGTAATTAATTTAAAACATAAAATTTATAATAAGTCGTAGTAGTACATAAACAATGTAACTTATGTCACGTTTAGTGCAATATATGTTAAAACGTTGTAGTTTAACATAAAGATGCTGGCGAATAATGAATCAAATTTACTGATGGCAAAAGGCGACGTGGGCTCGCAATAATAAAGGCCGTCCCAACACTGAAATGATGGAAGGCCAAGGTGGCGTAATGTAAGGAATGCATATAAAGGAGCATTTGTAGGATTAAGGAAGAGATTAACTAATCAATTAATAATTAATAAAACATAAACATGACAATAGAGCTAGCTAGGATGATGATTAACAATAAGGAATCCACACGGTTGGGGAATATAACATAAATCCTCGCCGCAAAGCAGGTGCTTGCTTGCACAACAAGATTACGTGTGAACCCAAATATGAGCCTCGTTCGGATTTCCAAACTTGTAGGCACGAAAACAAGATCATTATTATTAAAGTTCCATGAGATTATTCTTCTGTTTCGTAGCACTCAAACAAAGCAGTGAGTCCGCAAAACAATCTAACAAAGTTGAAGCAATATTGTAAACCGCACGTTAAACAATCTTAACCGGTGATTGTGGCATTTAAAACTTGTAACCCAACTTTTTCACATGTCTTTGATCTGCTGGTGCAGTTTTCCTAAACTTGAACCTTGATCATACGATATTTCAGGGACAAGGAGAAAGAAAAAAGAGTGCATTTGCCTGATAATATAAAAGAAACAGTGGAGACTATGAACTATGAAGTGAGTTCTCTAGCGACAGAATGAATAGCTGCACCAGCAACAACGTTGTACATCATCTCTGTGGGATGAACAGCATCCCAGAATACGTATTTGGTTGGATCTGAACATGTCTCCATTCCTCTGCATGATTCCCCATATTCCACTGTCCCTGTCCCACAACATCCCTTTGATCCTTCCTCAAAACCTGCCAAACCCATTATCCTCTGTGTTAAAATATGTATATATAAAAGTGATTCTGGCCAAGCCTTTGATATATCAGAAGACAGTCAAATAGGCTGTGGATTGATATTACTATACCAAGTACTAACCGTGTTTTTTGGGGTCCAAAACAGCATTGAGCATAGAGTTATAGACATCAACATAGGCAGTTTTTATGCCCAGTTTTGCCTTCAAGGTGGCCAGTTGGCGCAATAGTCTTGCGTTGAATGAGTAAGCTATTTTATTCAAGCTTGCCACACAGTTTTTCTTATTCTGCAACGCTTTCATCAGTGGAATGCATCCCATTGGTGGCACCCCTACCACGACAATTCTATTTGCTCCTAGCCTATGCATTGCCTGCCCAAGTCAAGATTTTGAATGAATTTTAGGGATATATAATACTAAGAAACTATTGAAAGCTTGGTCTACTACCGGACATAAAACTTCAATAATATCACCGAGAAATTATTAAGAGGGAAAAAGAATTAAGGGAGAGAGAGAACCTCAATGGCATGAGAAAAGCGGGAGAGCAAGAAATTCTGGAATTGTGGCATGCTGAATTGATTAGGGCGAGTAGGATCCAAGAAGTAGTTCTGCAGGAAATCGTTTGTGCCCATACTGACTATGTAAAGGGCATTTCTTACTATGAATTCTGCTCTTTCTGCACCCACTAGTTCTCTCAGATGGATCTTGTAATGCTTAAAATACTCTAGCTGTTTTGATACTGCCAGGACGCTCTGTTTCATCAAGGAAAACAAGAATGTGAGATTAAAAATGTCAACTTTATGGTTGATTCAGAAAAAGGCCACAGAATTTACCGAAATATTGGCAGTAAAATCATCGTAACCTGTTGCTGCTGATGCAAAACTAACCCCATGTGGAAGATCTGATGGCTTCAGATTTGGGTCTAGAAATGCTGGGACTATTTTTCTGTAACCTACCGCCTCAGCTGCATCAAGAGTTTGAGTCTAAGTTCTCTTTTTTCCTACTCATTATTTTCTTAAAAGAAAAAGGGGATGGAAGCATGATGAAAACAAACAAGAAATGTGAGTAACAAAAACAACATTTTCTGAAATGATGGGATCTTGTTCTCGAAAGAGAGATGACAATGGTCATAAATCTTTCTAAAACTTTGCTTTCATTTGGATCTGATCTCCTTTAAACTGATCAAACCTGAAAACTCAAGTTGAATCCAGTTGACCAAACGAGATTCAAAACCATATTAAATCTGTTGACTGTTAGCAGTTACCCAATAGGAATTCAGTTTGGAATTGCATATATTATGGCAATATCTAGCTTCCAAAAATATTACCAACAGTCTATACTAAACAGACTTGATCCAAAAAGTGTCACGGTTGTTTCTAATCTAAACCACCAACTCAGTCCAATCAAAAGCAATCTATTCCCTCTGGTTAAGAGAATCAACAGAAAATTCCTTGCATCTACATGTAAATCGTTGTTTACTTCACTTAGACTTAAGAAAACAAAACATGAGGAAGAAGCAAAGGGGTTGGTTAGAGTCTGACCAATGAAATCTGAGGCAAGCCTGCCATTACTAAACCTTCCTGTTGGGTGGCCATTGAAGAAGTCCTTCCCATAAGGAGGGAAGTTGCTTTTCATCAGGGTGGGAAGAGCATTGTTGTTCCCAGGATCAACACTTGAATCTCCAAACACTAAAAGGCATGACAAATTATACTGAGCGGCCAATTGCCTAATGTAGGGAACATCCATGGCGAGTGAAAGCCATGGCATTAAAACAAGCGCCAGAATTCCCTGCTTAATCAGTAATGCCAATACCATGCTTAGATGAACACTAGGCTTTCAAAAAGAAAGAACCAAGAGAGAGAGCTTACAACTGCAGCTCCTCCGTCGCGCAGGCTTGCTTAAATAGCCAACACAAACATGAAGAGATATGTAAACTTTTTAAAAAGATTTTTTTTCCCATATACATTGTTACTGGCTTGGTTTACTTATCTTGTATGAACTACGTTGAAAGATGAAAAATATCAGATTTGGCTTTGGGGAAGTTGGTTTGAGCGTCTTGAAATATGGTATGTAAAATTAACTGCTGCATTTATTGGAAAGGCAGGTTGTTGAATAGTCTGCCGGTGGTAAATTTAAATACTTGGTACAGTCACTGTCATCTACTATTAATGTGGAGCTATAAAATGTTGGAAAAATATCTGTACGTCTAGGGTCTACCCTTGAACTGCTATTACTATTACATGTATGTATGCTTCATTGATGTGCTTGTCAGTTCGCTGGACAATAATTTGATTTTGTTGCAAGTTGTTAGTAATAACCACATCTTGAAGCTGATGAAGACTTAGCAGTCTGCATTTAAAACGTTAAAATGCTGCGTAACAGTTCACTGGGAGGACAAATTCAGTGTGGTCTAGCATCTATTGGTGATGATTGTGTGTAGCTTTCGAACTTGAGATCTATGTTGTTCAAGTTGAGTGGTACTTAATCACTTGTCTATAACATTCTATGTGGCTGAATTAAGAAAAATTGATAAGTTACATCTAACATTTTAAAGTGTTTTCTCAGTAGCACTTAATATTCTAAGTTAATTTGTTGTTTAATTAGTATTTTAAAGCATTTTCCGAGTAGCATCTAGTGTTTTAAATATTTTTCTAGCAAGTTTTGGTATATCTGACATTGTAAAACATTTTTTTAGTAGCAGTCAGTATCATAAGTTTAGAGTGTTTGTTACGGCCGAGAGAAACATTTTAAAGACAAAATTGTAATAAAAATATTTTAGAATATTAAATATTACTGAAAAAAAACCATTTAAGTTGTTGGATGAACACAAATTAGTTTATAATCCCAAGTACTACTGGAAAGATACTTCATAATCTGGTCTGCTTTCATTTATCACCTGTGCTCTTCAAATTGGCTCCCTTACAAATAAGCACTACGCGGGGAACACACTGTCAGACAAATAGCCGAGGTATGCGGTCTTCATCAATCAACACAATGGCTTCAGATTTCTCCATCGTAAGCTGGTTAAAAAAAAAAAAAAGATTTCTCCATCGTAAGCCTTTCTATATTTGTGGTTCATTATTGTGATGAACTCAACGCATAAAATAATATTGGATAAGAAGAAAAATACTCCTCCGGTTCTTAATATAAGATCTAATTATTGAGTTAATTTTGATCCTGAATATAAGACCTATTTCTCATATTTATCAGTTTTTTCTAAATTATCCTTATGGATATTCCCTCAACTATAATCAAGTAGAAGGAGAGGAGACATTAAGGAAGATGATCATAGTGTTTTAGGAAAAACATTTCATATTTCTTATAATTAACTAACTTACCTAACTTTCTTAATCTAATCAACTTAGTTAAATATGTCTTATATTAAGGACCAAATGAGTAACATCCAAGAAAAGTGGGGGAAAATTCCCATTAAAAATCTTATTCACGAAAAGAACTTGACAAATTCTGCACACACACGCACAATATTTTGATTTAAATCATTTTTGTAATTAATATATTGATTACAAAGTGCTGGCAAAAAAATATTAATTACAAAGAATCATCTTAAATATTTTTATTTGAACTTTACCAATTGGTTAAAAATATTTATAAGGATAAATATGATTCATTTCTCAGGCCTCATATGTAGTACTATCTCCGGTCCTTAATATAAGAGCTAGTTGACTAATTTAAGTAGATTAAAAAAACTAGTTAAGTTAGTTATTTATAATAAATAAGTGCTGTCTTTTCTAAAATATTCTTGCTAATTAAGTGTATTAGTATTGGTTAGAACTATCATTATTACAGGGATTACTTTAAAAAAATGGATAAATATGAGAGGCAGAGGGGATTGAAATCTTATATTTAGACTAAAATAAAAATTAAATGAACTCTTATACTCTTCCGATCCTAAATATAAGACCTATTTTATAGTGCACTACAAAATAAATTTTACATTTAAGACAGGAAGAGTATTAAAGATGGGGAAATATTAGTATATGGAAGTGGTGTCTCAAATTTACAGACATTAAGCATTATTATTATTTCTTGATCTGTTTAAGCAGCATTTTGTGCTGTTAGAAGAAGTTGGGCCAAGTAATCGGGGCATTGATGAGCAACTAGAAATTGGTCGCAACGTCGAAAGCCTTCAGCCAAGTAATAAATGGCCGACAGTGCTGGTTTGCAAATTGCAATGTGAGAATCATTCATTTTCTTGGGCCACAAAAAGCCAACAACAAAGGCATGATCACTTAGTTGGTAAAAAAAAAACAAGAAGAACAAAAAAACAAAGACATGATCAATTTTGAATTGGTTTGATTTTTTTTTTCTCACAAGACTATGCTCAGAGATGTCTAAACATTAAATATGTTTTTTTAATCAATTTTGCTCCTAATTAGTATGTCCAGATCCATAAAATAACCCAATTCAAATTTTTATCTTTTAACTACAATTGGCTTTATATTATTAGATCAAATTATTAATATAAGAGTTGGTCGATTAATTTGAATATATATTAAAAAAACTAGTTAAATTAGTTATTTATAATGAACATGTGTTGTCTTTTGTAAGATACTTTTGCTAATTGTTAAAACTACTATTTGATAAAATCTTTAATATATATAATTACTATGAGGGTAATTTTAAAAAAAATGATTAGTATGAGAAATAAAAAGAATTAGGATTTTATATTTAAAACCAAATTGAATATTGAACTAGCTTTTATATCATGGACTAAAGGTAGTATATCATAAATTTTATACGTGAGCATATAATATAAAACTTTAAATCATTTCACAAGCTTGAACAATATGACTTGTGTTTTAAATTCTATGGAATGCAAGGAAAATTCACACGATTAATTTTAAAATTAATATTTAATTTGCAAGGCGAAATGTAGTTTTCCCAAACTAAACGTTTTTACATTTGCTAGCATGTGTTAAATTGGTAGTTGATTTAAAATAAAATATCCACAAGCGGCCAACAATCCGTTGTAGTCTAGTTGGTTAGGATACTCGGCTCTCACCCGAGAGACCCGGGTTCGATTCCCGGCAACGGAAGGCCGTAATATTTTCGTTTGTTCCTTCCCCCCTTTTTAATTCCCGGCCCAAGTGGTCCTTCTTAATTGGGTAGGAAGGAGTGGCAATTCGGGCTCACTATTATGGCGGGAAATAAGGGAAGGTTCTAAGTGGGAGTCGGGGAAGAAATTGGCGTTTGCAAATGAAAACAGGGGATCAGGGATTACAATGGAGAATCCCAGCACTAGCAGTAGAAGATGGAACAGGGGAGGCTTTGAGGAGAATATATTGGCCATATTCGATGCCTCGGAAACTAAGGACAGTCAAGAGTCTCGCGATGACAGTACGTGTTTCACTTCTCTTGTCCTCACTGATACCTTTGTTCTTTTTATCCCCAGAAATTTTATGTTTGGTTCTTCAGAAGGCAAACACAAAAGCAACGCTTTTTGGGTTTTAGCTAGTTAATTTTCTCGGTTAAAAAGAAAACAAATCTTGGTGAATGGTACTGGTTTGGATTTACCTAGGTTCTGGTCACATGACGTTATTTATGCAATTTCTGGGCAACTAAACGTGGGTTACGACAGCTGCACGCTAAAAAGATATCATCTTTTTCCTTTCTTTCTTCATTACCTTCATATATGCAGGGATTGCTTTTCTGAGAGCTGTTCGTGCTGCTTCAATTGTTTCAGATCATGGAACACCACCAACTTCGTAAATCTCACTCCCCCTCTCCCGCTACACTCATACACACTTACTGTGAATGCTTAGAATAAACTGCCCTTTAAGAAGCAATTAAGGCTCCATTTTTATGGGTTTTTCTCCTCGGCAAGGAAGGATGCATTTTAGACTGTAGAGTGTAAACTTCATTTCAATTACCAGTGCTGAGAAATCGGGCTATAAGATTTTACTGGAATAATGGGTTGACTGTAATTGAAAATTTGAACCATTTTTTGAGAACACACTGGTTGACAAAGTGTGCACTATTTAATATCATTCTGCTTTTGTCTCTGTTGCTGGTATTTTTGTGTATATTCCAGTCAACCGTGTGCTTAATTTGAAATTTCGATTTGTTAAGCAAAATGTTTGAAGGAGTTTTCCATATTCTGCGGACGGGGAAGTCTTTAGAGTTGATTATGGCCAGTTATCAGCTCCTGATTGAGTTAAACAAGGTATTTGACTGTGACATCAATTTACTTATTCATATTCATATGCTCTAGATGTAATTGATGCCCCTAACTGTTTGTTTTTGTTGGGTTTAGCGCTTCCCTCTTGTGTATTTTTCTAGGGAAGACAAATCCAAACCAGGCTCTTATCCTTCATCAGAGTTGGTTGTAGTTGAAGAGGTATAATCAAATACTATAAATCATCTTCATGCATTCCGTTCTGATTTTTTCCCAGGGTGAGTATAATTGAAATAACTTCTAAACATTTTCTACTTTTCTTTTAGGCTTGGTCCCCGATTATTGTTAGTTTAGCTAATGCCAGTACTGTCAATCAAGCAACAGGCAAACAGTCTGGTGACCCTATTGATCCCTCTGTGAGTTGGTCTCTCCCACGCTAAACTCTATTATATAGTCCTTGAGTTCTCTATTCAATTGACTTCCAATATTTTTCACAGTGCTTCTTATTCTTCCTTGGTCCCCCTTTTGTCCTGTTGACACTGCCATGTTGCTTTCTACTCAATTCTTATTGCACTGTGAACTTATATTCTACTTGGGTCATCATTTAAAGAAGGAAATCTTTGATGGAATCACTCAACTTTCAATAACAGTGTACTTAGGAACCCTTTTTTCCCCGTATGATTAAAATATTTTTGTACAAAATTCACCTCTATAAAATTGCTGCAATTGAAATTTACCAGTTGTACAGTTTAATTCTATATCTCCGCCTTGTATTTGTTTAAGAGAAATCTGTGCTGCTTCGAGCAGAAGCAAATAATGTTGTAGTCACTGTTCAGAGCTTTAATGCGGCCGTGTTTCATGTATTGAGGGATAGGGTGGATTAATTTTCGTGGCACATAATTTTTAAATTGATGACAAGTGCATTTGCAGTTCAGTAGAACAGTATCATTTTCTTGTATTTGATCTTTTGTGATGTTCTTCCCCTGTTAAACCTTAATTTAATTCTTAGTTCTGAAACTAATTTTCACTCAAAATTTTCCATCTACCTTAGAGTTTTTATTGTCTGATTGACGAGATTGCTGAAATGTTATCCAAGACGAAATTCCAAGCATCAGATTTTAAGGTTAGTTCGTCTATATCCTACATCTTGTTCTGAAATTTTTTGAAATAGGAAATGGTTTAGAATAATTTTGGTCTCTTTTTCCATCCAGAAGGGTGGAGGGTACATGTATGATTTCTACTATTCTGGGACAAAGTACTTTCCATTTGACTTTTGATTGTGATTGAACTCCCTTCTGATATATAATACGTGGTCTTGGTTTACTTTAGTTTCATTTGCCACTTGCATGTTAAGCTACCAGGTTTCTCATTTATTTGTGCTGTAATGTTAAGCTTCCTTTTAGAAAGTGCTAAATTGATTGTAACGTTTTTGAACATATAAAACTGATCATTTCTTTTTCTTTTGTTTTTTAAAATTTTTGTTTGACCTTGTTCCAGCCCTTACAAAACATGTTAGTATTTCAATATCTTGTCGAAGTTTTTGAAGGAGATTTTTTGCCTCGCAAAGGTGTGTATGAAGTTGAATTGATATCTAATATCTTCAGCACCTATTCTTATACTGCTTTTAAGTAAATATTTTCTGTTGCAGCAACCATTGACTGGAACATTGAGAGGGATTCTTTGCTCAACCTGTTACTGGTATGTATGCTTTTGAAGCCAAAGCATTGGAAAAATTTGTGTAAATGGTCAACCCCCAAAATATTGATAGCTTCAAGCGGCTAATTAGGAGTGTATCTTCACTTCTTTTCCAAGCACTTATTGTAGAATCCGCCTTTTAGAAGGTGTTGCTAATTTTATTTGCTGAAATATATTCATAATCTGATTGTTTTGCAGGGATCCAGGAAAATAAACTACAAAGCCTTAATGAAGAACTGCTTGACAATTATTTGTCAATTATCTCAACTTAAAAATGAACTCAATAAATATATGGAGTGTGAAGAGGTTACTGAATCTAGCTTATCCAAAAATTGTCTTACTTCATTGTCAACTGGTGTATTTGAAGCAGAAAAGAACACCTGCATCTCTATGGAAAAATTTATGGTTATGGTAAGCTCCTGAATATCATAACCAGATCTCTCTCTCTCTCTCTCTCTCTCTATATATATATATATATATATATGTCTACACTGATATTCTCAATGACTTTAGATAATGGAGCTTGATGTGTCTAGGAACAAAGCGGATCTTGCAGGTTATACTACAAGGGCTGATGGATCTAGGTACCTTTCTTTCTTTCTTTCTTTCTTTGTTTTTTTTTTTGGGACCCTAGCTGCATTGTTACAATGTTAATATACTAAAAATTGTAGTTTTTCATTGTCGTGCATCTTGGTTGAAGTAAAGAGGTGATATTGTACTTTGGTGCAGAACACCTTTGTTGGCGATAATTTTGGATGAACTAGCTTATAATCAAGATATGATTCCCCAATTTCTTCAGGTGGCTTCTAAATTCTCTCCTGAATATTTTCAATATACTGATTAGATGGTCTGAAACTTCATAGAGAGGGTTAGGCCTTTCCTTATGAAACCTTTGCATTAAGGAAGGGGACAGCCTGGGAAGGATTTAAATCAAATTAATCTCTGCATAGTAAAGTGAAGATCTACCGTTATTTTAGTAACCTTGCATAGGATTACTTTAATACCTTGGGTTTGGGTAGAGGAAATTGCTTTTTGCTTGTGAATGCCATGTTTATATTTGAATATAATGGATTTATTCGTTATTCTATTTTAATGCATACACAGTCAGAGGCTTGAGTTTTTATGTTCTCTGAGCTTCTGCGCCTTCAAATTTTCAGTTGGTGTTTTGTGGGTTTACAAAGCTTGATTGTGATGTTATGACTAATGATTTATTCATTTGATGAGCGTGGTGTCAGATCTTCACTGAACCTAAATGGAAGCTGGAAATAATTGTGCATTATCTCTGGAAGTACATAACTAAGGTATTCAACAGTTAGATTGTTCAATATCTGGTAACCAAGTGTGCTTAATGGTATATTCTTTTGGGAATGAGGAGGAGACCCACTGCCCTATCTATTGTTCTGATACTATTATGCAACAACGCAGCCATCTGTTCGGACTCGGAGAACAAATGTTTCTGTTGAGGATGAGACGTTTAGTGGGGCCCTGAAATGCTTTTCAAATAAAGCCACCACTAAGAGCACAATTAAAAAGATTGATTCGGACATTGTTCAATTCCTTTTGGCTCATGGTTTCCAGGTGCTTTTCTCATCAAAATATGTAATTATGGATAATTTTTTATTTACTGTTATCTGTGTGAGCTAGGTGAAGTTTTTTTGTCAAAAATATAAAATTCAACAATTGATTGGCAATTCTGCTAAAAATATTTCTATAACTTCTGTCAAATTTATCTGTATTAAGAAAGAACTATAATCATTTTTCTTCGTTTCTTTCAAGTTTGACTCTATCTTATAGGTGTAATTGTTTCCTGCAAACCAGTGTTATACCTCTACATAGCATGTACTTTCTCTACATGCGGAGTAAAAACTTCGATTTGACAAGTAAACAACCCTCTGGGAAATATATCTAATTTACATAGTGTCCTGCTAAGACTCTAATTTAGCTCAGTTACTTCAAACTTTTCTAAAATGAACCAGTAAATCCCTGAAACTTAGCAATATGAATATGGATAAAATCTTAAAAAATTAATATTCAATTATGGTTGACCACCCTTTTGACTGTGTCAAATCATTTTTCTGAATGGGATTTGTCCTTAGGCTCAATTGTCAGTACTGTCTGAAGGACACGCAGAGGAGAAAATTGCTGGTCATGAAGAAGAGCGACTTAGTGCTCTTGTGGATATGTGCCAGAGCGTTATCTCTGCTTTTGATTGTTTGAGAAGCACTGATGAGTAAGGAACATGCCTTTCAGGAGTATAATTTCTGCACCAATAGAACTTTGGCTTGTTTGTCCATTGAGTTTTGCTGACAAGGGATATTATGAGTCCTGGACACAAGTTATACTTGAGTTTCCTTCGACGTTCTGAAAGATCTGGCACCTAGTTTTTACTTTGTCTTTGTCTGTCCTGTTGCAGGCGCATGGAGATTTTGCCTGTTGGGAAGGAGGCACTGTTTACAGCAGCAACTATCGTCTCCATGAAGTCTCAGTAATGTCTAAATTAAAAATTCAGCACCAAGTTGATCAACTTGTGAAGGTGATAGAAGCTCGTGAAAGTGAGGGTAAAATAGGATCGAATTTGGGTTCCATGCAAGATATTAGTCCAGGTTGTGGAAGCCAGTTCCATCTATTTTGATGAATCCGGTTCCATATGGAATCAGTTTACGAAGTAGTAAATGTGATGTTTTTGAGTTTTATCCTCATTTCCTCTCTTGTCCTGCATAGTTCTCATGCATGGTTCTCATATACTCTCTAGTTTAAAATATAAATATTGAATAACTAATTTAAGCGACTTAAAAAGTTTGTTAAAATTGATTAAAGACAAGTAAAAAATACAGCGATATTTTTCCTCTTCCTTTTCCCTTTCAAAAGCTCAAATTCTTTCATATCAGGCCGTTGGGAAAAGAAAAATTTCATGAGAAGACTAGAATTTAGGGGTATGATCAAACACCTTGCAAGCCAGCCTTGTGCATCTCACATTGCAGGGTGTGGCTGTATAAATGATGAAGGTGAGCAACATTTTATATCCCATATATGGTTAAACATTTTATATCCCTTATATAGTTAAGTGTAAAAATTCTCTTTTATCTATTTATCTCTTGTAAAACTGATTGCATTAAGAAAAAATAAATAAATATTTGTTAAGCTACTAATTGAATCAAACACTTATTAAGTCATTTTATTCAAATTCAAATTGACTTTTTTCTTTTATTTTATCTTGTCTGTCCGAAAATAATCCAAATTCACATTGAATTAAAAAAATGATAAAAGAAATTAATTAAAGCGGATCCTTTTTTTTTTTTTTTTTTTTTTATAGAGGCCAAGGCTAAAACGAACTGACACTTAAGTCTTTGTTGAAATATTTATTGTTTTAAAGTTGTTACAACAGATACTAACTGGCCTGGGAATTCCTAGCATCTTCATGCAATTTATTTTTAAAATTAATTAAACTCTGAAAAATGGAATTAATTATTAGAGAAACTAATACATCCATCATGGGCTTGCCAAGGCACATGCCAGACCAGCAGGCCTTATTTGTGAAATTAAATCCCTAACGTCGTTTTTACTTTTGCTGCCTCGAGTTCAGACCTCAGACTTCAGACAGACTTCAAGCGTCCGACGTCCGAGGTTTATCGAAGTTGGTCCCCTCCAATCCAAGGGGTTTAGACCGTTTCGGTGGTTCAGTGAGTCAATAGCTGCATCGTTTGCGAAGTGGTCGGGTGAAGGCGGAGCCGAAGTGTTCGTTGGAATTCCTGATTGGATTCAACTTGCGCATTACCAATCTCCGTAGTCTAACAACCGCCAAGAACACCGGAGACCCTGAGGGAAGGTGTCCAGCCTGGGATTCACCCTCTCAGATTCATTTCGAAGTCAATAATGCAACGGCTATCGTCAAGAATTTCGCGGAGCGTAGCCTATGCGGCGAAAACTGTGTTCTGCACTGAATTGCCTGTATCCTCTTCTCCGAAATGCTTCTTCTCTGCAGTTTCCGTTGGAGCAAGTGCCCAGAAATTGCCAAAGCTGGATATTCCTGGGGATTTCCTGAAATGGGCTTCGCTTGGCTTTTGCAGGACATCGAGATTCGCCTCAGGGTTCACCCCTTTGCAACCCAAGCCATTGGATTCTATTGTGGATTTTGAGAGAGTAAAGGATCGACCGCCTGAGGAGATTGCTTCTATTTGGGACGATGTAATTATTTTGCCTGCACTTTGTCTTGCCAACATGTTTTTCAGTTGTTCTCGAAACTAGAGAGGATTGAAGCCTTTTTACTTCTCTTATTTGTTATTTTTAGCCTTTGGCCTGCTGTGGAATGCAAAACGTTAAGTCTAAAATAGATAAAATGAGATGTGGCAGCCAATTTACATTTCTTCCTTATCTTCATTATTGATTTTGTGCTATATATTTCTATACATGGGATATCTTCATTATTATGGCAAGTCCGATGCAATTATTGAATTGGGGTAGACTTTCTGATTTCGATGAAGCTTGTGCTCAAGCTGCCATACAGCTTTTGTTTTAAAGATCCCCCCCCCCCCCCGGGTCAACTAAATGGTTTGGCTTGTTTTATCTTAGTATCACCTGGGAAGAGGTCATATTGGAGCATCCATGAAAGCAAAACTTTACCACTTACTGGAGCAAAGAGCAGAGAGTTGGTAGTGTCATTTTTCTTTGTACTATTATCATGTGTTTGTTTTCCCTATATTTCATGAAATCTCCAAATTTTCTTCATTGATCAAAAGAAATCTAAACTCCTTTTTATTCTTGGCAGCCGATATTTTGTCCTTCCCTTATGGCGAGGAAGTGGTTATATGACGATGTTTGCTCAAGGTTTGGAGAAAATATACTGACCCTGATCATTAGCGTGACTCGGAACTGAGTTCTAGCATTTGTTTAGTTTGAAAAATCTTCCCCTACCTATGAGAGTGGTTGATTATTTTTGGAAAATGAGTTGTATTAGAGAGAGAGGGCTTAGAAGGTTGAGGGTAAAGAAGAAAGACTTCATTATGTAGTTTTCATAAATAAACGGAAATAAACCAAAGAGTTTAGTTTGCACGCCCTCATGTCCAAGGTAAAATAGAAGTAATAATTGATGGATGATGAAATACTTGATAGAGCTTGATGTATTTTTTAGATGCTTAAATTGATTTGTTTTAAATTCTAAGAGAAACATGTATATGAGAAGATGGCATGCTAAATATCTTAGGGTCAGGACTATTTTTTGGGAAGTTTTTAAATGATGTCTTGTGCAAATTTTAACTCCGAAAAGGATTGAAAGATGACTGAGGTAGCAAAATCTTCCCCCTTTACTTTAGGTGAAGGCTGAAGCCGAAGATACTAGGATTTCTAGAATTGTACTTTCTTTAACTGTGCTCTCGCATGTACTGAAATAAAATATCTTAAAGTTAAAAGAGATTCTTTGTTGTTGACTATGTTATGTACTTAAGGTGATCTCATTCATACACCCTCTTTCTTGCAGTGCAAATGCCACACATGATTTTCACTGGTCTTGAAGATTATAAGGCCAGGGGAACTCAGGCAGCTCCCTACCTGACTGTGTCCTTTTACAAAGAATTTGCAGAGAGCAAGGATCTGGTACTTATCCGTGGGGATGTTGTATTTACTAGCAAGCTCAGTGACTCAGAGGCAAAATGGCTTATAGAAACGGCTCAATCATTTTATTTGAACGATGTGAGGTACGAATTGGTTGAAAGGTTCAACAAAGAAACACGAGATTTTGAGTTCAAGGATGTGTTGCAAGCATTGGATATGCCGATGTTATGATTCCTCACTTGATCAGCATGCGGAGAAACTGAGGAATCTTTTTCATTAGGGTGGAAATGACATTTGGCGTTCTATTTTTTTTTTTTCCGACTTCATATTCATTGTTGTTGCTGCCTCCCCCCCTTCCTTAGATTGAATGATTAATAATGGTTGAAAATTATTTTATTCACTTTAAATGGATTTTTTTGTTGTTGCACAAACCGGCCTTTTTTTTAAGCTGGTAACTTTGTTTTTTGTTTGGAGTAGAAACTGAAAATCCATCAATGCAATAGGGAGGAACAACTAGAGCAAAACAAGGACTAACTAGCCTTGGCTTTCTTTTAAACCCGAGTCAAATTTAACACGCTATGCTGATACAGGGACTGAACCAAATATAGAGGTGTATCCTTGGTATGACCGATCTTTGTTGTTTGACTTGTCAGGCTGCCTTTCTTTTACATTGGAAGAAATTAATCTTACTATGGCAAAAAATAAATTAAACTAAAAAAAAAGGCATGTTAGAGTCACCCAAAAAAAAAAAACCCAAAAAAGGTCATTTTATTTCGTGGGCAGCCATTGAAATGAGTGACACATGCAGTTCATTTACTATTTTAAAACCATGGATTGAACTTATTGGGATTTCGATAATAAAATATAGAAATGTGAAATTATTTCAGAATGGTCCAGGAAAAAGGAGATAATGATGTGTATGTAACAATTAAAATTAAAATTTTTTAACCTAACAGTGTTTCGAATGGGATTGCCTAATAGGAGGATACTTATGTTTTAGCAAAAAAAAAATTAAAATTTTTTATTATCATCACGCATGTTGAAAATGTGGAGCTTGACTGCTGAAATTAAATTTTGAGACTTCCTTTTTCACCGAACTCAAAAGTGTCTTATGTCCTATCTTTTATGAATTAATAAATTTCAGCTTTCATTAAAAACAAAAGTCTCTTATTTAAAATAAATAAATTCCATACGGACAGGGCAACTTTTCAGTCAGTTTGCGGATTACTGCTTCAACAAGCATGTCCTTCAATGCATTTCAGCCCAAGAAAAGGGCACTTGCGCATGGATCGGATACGTAGCTCGGTTAATTTTGGACCAACTGTGGCGTTCCCCCACACGCTCGCGGCCGAGCTGTCGTTTTTTAATTTTTTCGCGTCGTTTAAGTCCAGCTTCAGAGCTCAGACGTTTCTATCCTCGGATCGGAGGAAAATAAAGGTGTACCCTGTCGAAGTTCGACCCCATCAATCCGAGAGTCTATAGGCCTTAGTTCAGGCAGTCAATACCCTAAATACCCTCGTCTTCCTTCCTTGTTCCCCACACTAGCGTCAAAACCCTTCAGGTACTGAACTCGTATTCTTCCTCTTCCCCGAGAGGTACTCAGAATAAGTGAAACTGACCCGTTGGAGACTTCCGCACCCTATTGTTTTACAGTGTAGAAGCTCTCTGCAAAAAAACCTTTCTTTCCCTCTCTATATGCTAATTTTGTTTTGTGGGTCAATTTCAATCAGCTTCAGCGGACGCCACAATGACTGACCCTTCCGAGGAGGCTGCTTATATTGAGAAGCTCTATCAATACGGGGAGCAGCTCAACAATGCCAAAGATAAGTCTCAGGTTCGATATTTTTTCCCCTCTCACTTGAATGCTTTTCTTAAAGGGTTTTAGTGCGCAATCCCAGCGTTTTCAATTGGATTTAATTGTCACGCGGGATTTTGCAGAATGTGAGTGACTACCAGGGAATTATAGATGCGGCCAAGACAAGTGTCAAGGCGAAGCAACTGGCTGCCCAGCTCATTCCCCGATTCTTCAAGTTCTTCCCTGATCTTTCAGACCATGCCCTTTATGCACATCTTGATTTGGTTGAGGAAGAAGAGCTTGGGGTGAGTTTTTCACTTTCACAAACACATATGCCAATGCTATAACTGTGCAGCTTGCTAGTTTTAGACGAGAAACCGTTTGAAAAAGGAAACAAATCAATTCTTAATTGGCACGAGCAGCTAACTAAGATGTTATACGTCCATCTCATGTTGCATGCCTTTATTTTAGTTTAGTGCATTGTCATTCTCTCTTCTACAAAGTTTTTTAGAAATGAAATGCCATATGTATAATCTTAATCATAGCATAATGAAAAAGGAGTATTTCTGCATTGTCTTACTACTTTTTTCCTGAGGATGATTTTCGAAGTTTGTTTTCTCTCACGTTCTTCTCCTGCTGTGAAGGTTCGGGTTCAAGCAATTAGAGGTCTGCCCCTTTTCTGCAAGGATACACCAGAACTTGTAGGGAAGATTGTTGATATTCTTGTACAAATTCTTGGGTCTGGTTAGTTATTGTTTCTGAAATCTCTGCTATTATAAGAACTTGAGCAACTGCTATAACTATTCTGATCTTGTTTTCATGTTTCAGAGGAATTTGTAGAGCGTGATGCTGTACACAAGGCTCTTATGTCTCTTCTGAGGCAGGATGTAAAAGGTATTTTGAGATTTCTTTTGTCAATCTGAAATATGTTTTAAGAGAGATCGGGAGAATTATATGGTAGACAACATTATATAAAATAAAAAAAGTAGAATGTTTATTAATGAACATTAGGTGGACAGGAACACAATTGTTTTATGAAGCAGGGAACATGTTCTATATACTTAATTTTTTCATATTCTGAGTAGTGCACATCATGTATAAAGAACTAATGAGGCGTGAAGAATTTCAGAATAACAACACTGGAGTTTCTTATTTTATTCATGGTTGAAGACAAAACCATATAGGAAGCAGACGGCAACAAATCTGTCATTCGGCCCCAGAAATAAAGCCACCATTAAGATAGCAAAATTTCAGGATTTAAAAATGCAAAAAAAACCTCTTGATTGTTCACACTAAATGATGCAAAATTCATTCTTTCTCTTTGTAAAATATCCATCTGAATGTTTTTAAACTCCTGCTATGCCTTAGAGATTCCATAAATTTGAAATTGCCACTTCATTTAAGTTGTGTCTGATAATTGTTTTAATGCAGCTTCGTTGACGGCTTTGTTTAAGCACATTGGGAGTGTGGAAGAACCTAGTACAGATGATGTTATTCGTGAAAAGGTTATAAATTTTGTTAGGGACAAGGTAATGAGAGAAATGGCCGACTCTGATAGTCCTTTAATTCTATTATCCTTTTTAACTGGAAGTGAATGATAATTATTTTCATTTTAGGTTTTCCCTGTTAAAGCAGAACTGTTAAAGCCCCAAGAGGAAATGGAAAGACACATAACTGATCTGATAAAAAAGGTATCTGTAATTTTGTGACCCGTTATTTTATCAGTGCATTTGTCTATTTAATATGTTTATTTTGGTAATATACTAGAGGGTTTAAATATGTGGTTGAATGCTGTTGTAGAGTTTAGAAGATGTAACTGGCGCAGAATTTCGAATGTTTATGGATTTTCTAAAGAGCTTGAGCCTGTTTGGCGAACAAGCTCCACCTGAGCGCATGAAGGAACTGATTGGAATCATTGAAGGGCAAGCTGATTTAGATGCACAGTTCAGTGTAAGTGCTTCCTTTTAATGGTTTTCTGGGGAGCTATTCATTTTGTGATTTATGATCATTATAATCGATTTGAGTGGGTGGGGGATGTCAAAATGATCATGTTGAGAAGTTGATTTATATCTTGTAATGGCATCCAGTGATACTCAGATGCGAATTCAAGCTGCGTACATAGTTATTGTATTGCCCTGGTTTGTTATGGATTCTTTATTAGCTATTTTCTTTTAACGGTAAAATGTAGGTTTCAGATGCAGATCACATAGACAGATTGATATCATGCCTTCACATAGCACTTCCCATTGTTGTGGTAAGGGAAATTTAATGTTCTTTCTATATTTCTTGATTTTAATGTTTCTGAGACCAGCTCGACCCTTGGCACAGAGGGGCGCACCTAGTGGCAAATTTCTCAACTACATAAACAAGTACATCATACCTGTTTTCGACCAGGTAAACCATAGATCTTTTTGCCTGGAACAATAATCAGTAGTTCATACTACCTCCAGTCTTTAATATAAGATTTACTAAGTGGATCGTATTTTAAGAACTGGAGGTAGTATATTTCTTCAAGCTATTTTCCAACCTTTCTTAATTAAATGAGTTGGCCTGTTCCCTTCAAAACCCTGATTTTATTTATATGTATTGAGCTACAACTTTTTCTCTGACTATGGAAGAGACTGGAATGGGTAACCAAGCAAGTACAGAGAATTAAGCCACATAAAAAGAAGACCCTAAAGACTACTGGCTCTTGAGAGGCCAGATGCTCCTCCAAATTCTCAAAATTCTTCTCTAGCCTTCCGCTTCCCTCTCAACAATAACACCTACACTCCTCCCTGCTTCTCTCTCTCTCTCTCTCCATGCGTCTGCCTCACAACCTACATGTGACCAAGTTAATTATTCCTACCCATTTCCCTCTCTGGCCTTCCTTCTGCCCCCTCATACTCAGTACCCTCATGTGTCCTATTCCTTTTCTGTCCTGGAAATGTGTGCCTTGCCTTTTTCCCCTCACATGCATATCTATCCGCATGCTAGGTTCTTGAGTGTGCTTTTTACATGCTTCTTGCTTTTCTACTGTAAATCATTGATCAAAGTGACATTGTCAAAATTGTATGTGCTGCATGATCTATCTCGAAATATGTTGATAAGCATGTCAACCATTACATCATTTCACTGTAAATTGCACAATACGTCATATGTATCTATTGTTTTGTGTGGCATGGTTAAATCTCTGTAAGGAGAGATTCACTTGCAAAGAAAATGCACATGTTGATTTCATCAAATGCAGGAGGCTGATTCCTGCTTTGTGAAAAATTTCAAGATTCCAAGCTATCGGAAGCATAGCTGAGCAGCTGGAAACTGCTATTATTTTTGCATTTCTTTCTTACCTTAAAAACATTTCACGTCAGGGGCTGGGTTCTCTCTATTGAAGGCTTCTCATCTCTTGCTGCTACTCTAAGAGATAGGAGTTGTTTCCTTTATTTTTGGGTACTGTATTGTTAAGAATAGTTTAAATAGGCAGTTGATCTTAGATTTGCATCATCTTTGTAGTCGAATGATTTAGGTTATTTTTATTTCAGATGTTATTTAGTATGAACAATCAGATTTCAAGAATGTTTGTGCTACATTAACGAAGATCCTCTTACAATATTGAAGTTGCTCTTTTTGTCCCCTTGCTTGATAACTTTGTT